TGCATAGGAGTTGCACCTTTTGTTAAAGCACCTTCAAATGCTTGGACTTATCGCCTTTCCGTTCTTTCGCCTTTCTTCCACTTGGGAACTGAGTTAACTGAAAACCAATGTCAGAGTGTGTGTTCTATTGGGCTCATGAGTCAAGTCATGTCCCATGGTCCAACTTTGGAGGGAGCAGGTAGTTTCTTTTATGTCTTGCTTTAATCGTTTTATTGCATGGGTTATTTATCCAGAATCGGTCTATAGGGTGTGTTCCAGTAATGGCCGGTAAAAAGACTCTCACATACTATCGATAGTTTTGAGAAAGGCCTTTACTCATCATCTGGCACTGGGATATCCTCCTATTTAATCCCGGAAAGTGGAGCTGTTTGAGGCTACCGCAAGGTCCCCGTGAGAAACAACACGTGCCATTGGATGCACCATTTTTTTGGTTCGTGCTCCAGTGCAGACCTCCGAGGAGACCTCCGGCTTGAGCAGTGAAGCTGCAGCTGCTTTGGTGTCACAATACCGGCAGCTGGCGTCCAAAGACGTGACTTCAGCTGAACTGTGAGCTGTTCCTGTTAGGTAGCGTAGGGGTTTCCATAATAATTGGTGACCCCTTTCACGGTGCTGGTAGTAGATATATCTTGGGAATCCCTGAATTTGATGGGTTTTCTCCCAAGGCTCGAGCGACTCAGTCTTCCCATGTGGTTTCTTCACATCGGGAAGGCTGCCAGACCGGAGCCTGAAGACGCTGCAGTGATCAGGTCGTTCCCGGCCCCGCAGTGACCATAACCAGCTAGTGTTGAACTCAATGTTTGGACCCAAACATGTCCATCTCGTCATGATGTGGCAGACTTTCTCAGTTTTTTTTTGGGGGGCTGTTTGGCAATTTGGAAGGCTAGACACCTCGCAACAGGTTTATTTCACCACCATGCCACATGCCGAAAGTTCGACCGGTTTTGTTTACAGGTTTGAACAACCACCATGCCACACGGTTTGCACGCGACCAATGGTTTTCGTTTTCTTTTGGTGCAGGATTTATCAGGTTCTCTTCAAAAGGCCAACTCCAACCGCACCACTGCTCAAACCAGGAAGGCTCCATCCTCCTGGCTGTCATGCGTGGCCGCTGTGCAGAGGGCGCTGATTTCAAGGACGAGGCCGCCCGCGCTGTGGTGGTTGTTGGTGTGCCCTTTCCCAGTGGCTTGGCTTGCGAGTTCTCAGCGGTGGAGGCCTTTTGAATTACAGTACCTGGTCGGGTTGTTATGATGTTTTCCATGTGGGTGAATGTCCTGGCATGGAGACGATGTTTGTATGGATTTCCTGGTTTTCTAATATAAGCCAATCCAAGGTGACGGACGGGGAAAGGCTCGAACACTCCACTGAACCCCCGAGTTGGTCAACGATTTTGGCCAGATGATGAGAAGAGTTGATCCTGCGTGGGAACCAGCCCAAGAGATGGTGCCTAAACACTCCCACTCGAAGTGCTGGCACAGGCCTCCCAGTTCCCACTCTTGCAAGGGGACCGAAAAGGTCCATGAACCGAACAACTTGAGTCCTGCATGCAACAAATGTGTGCACAGACAGAATTAGAGGTCAGGTTCAGAAAATCTGGTGCGTTTGCCTAGTCATTTTGGGTGAGTTTTCTGGGTGGCTCAAGCTGAAGAGCTCACAGGGCAGTTTTTTGAAGATGCCTGGCCCATCCAGAAAGGAGCTCACCCACGCGCTACCGTGAGGTATGGACACTGAAGTGCGCTTGAAGATGGAGTACGAAGGTCGACATGGCTCTGCATGGTACGAGGCTGAAGCTTACCGATCTGTGTCGCAGGCTGCGGGGCGACTGTTGAGACACCAGTCGGACTACGGATGCCTGCTCCCTGACCAGGAAAAAGAACCTTTTTGAACTCCTTTGGAAGCCTCGCATGTAATAATTGGGCGTAAGAAATAGGGCATTGGATTCCAAAAGATGTCCAGTAGGCCCGTGTTTCTTTTTTTGAGGCACTTGATGATTTCTTTTGTTTGTATCTATTTGTTGAGTCACCCGAAAAGTTGTATTGCAGTTTGGGCACCCCAATATGTGTTGATTTGTTGTGAGCTCTTTTGCCCGCCAGCAGGCTGGCACTTTGTTTAAAGAGGCCCATCCCAGATGGCCCCCACAAGCCTACTGCTGGAAGGGCATACTTTCCGGAACCGTGTTTTGTTGGTTTTTCTTGTGTGCCTGCATGGTTGCCAATCTAGCAAACATGGAAGTGGAACATACAGTGTTCCATGGATTCATGGCATGGTCAACTTTCATTTTTGTTTGTTGGAACAAATAGAGGGTGCATCTGTTTTTGGGTGTCCAAAGTGCTTTACTTAGTGAGGCTCCTGCTGGACTACAGATTTGCCGCAGAGAACCCTCCGCTGCAGCTGTCGAGCTGGCTGAGACAGGAGCTGCGAGAACAGCGCGGCAAAGGTGATGTGACGAGCAAAAATTTGGAACAGATCTCAGAAGAGCTCACTCAGTTCTTTCTCAGAAACCTGGACTTGTTTTTCACAGGTTTTCTTCGAATCTGCTTCGAACGTGGGAGCCCACCATGGCCAACCGACCGTACGGAATGGTATGTACTACTGTACTGAACGTATATTGTATGAAGTCCTCCTTCCAGCACCTTCATGTCGGGGTCACCAGGCTGGTTTCGCCCCAGCCCACTACCATCCGGGATCTCCAGCCAGGACACCCCTTTGAAGGTCCAGGTTGTTATCAAAGGTTAACTGTTGACGTCCTCGTCTTGCTGTAGTTTCCCAAACCTCCCGAGATCGGCGGTTTTCAGCATGCAGATTTCGGGTCTGTCCGTTGGTCAACCAGTAAAGCAGTTGGTCAACCATGCCAACTACTTTCAACAAGGCCTTTATATACTCATCATCATCCATTCTTATGGGTACTGGGGTATCCCCAAAGAATTGCTTTATATACACCTAGCACCTGAATGACTTCTCATTTGGACCACCCAGAAATCCCACATGTGATGATCTTTTCCCATCAAAACCAGGGGGTCATGTTTGGGTTCCACCGATCCATATGGCTTTCCGCCGATCCGCCGGGCTGCCGGATACGGCACCAGGAATGCCAGGGGGGGCAGAATGCGACAGACTGTAGGGAATCCAAGAGGGAATGCACGATCTATCAGTATAGTGCAGGGTACTCCAGTAAGGAACCCCCCAAGAGGGGTTGAGAGACCGCTTCACGTTCAGACCCTGGTCTGTGCTACATATGGGATGGGCGATATATAGGGGCTGCTCAACCTCTCTAGGCCGGTGGCCCAAAGAACCCAGGAAATGACGCGGCCCAAGAAGTGCTTCAGCGGCGGGTGGCCCAAAAATGGAGCGCCAGACAGCTGAGCGACAGCAAGTGACATCAGAGAGCTGTGTTCTCAAGCCGCCTGGTTGGCTGTTCCTGCTTGGCTGTTCTGGGTGACTCTGGACGTTCGTCTCCCACTGCTAAGCCCACCAGATCCCAAGGGTGTTCCCCAGATGTGATCTGGGCGCCCTGTGACCCACCTGGTGCCCCAGCTGGCACATCTGGAACTGACACAAAGGGCGCCCGATCTGCCCTGTGGAGCTAAGCGATTGATCGGAGGAGTCAGTAGATGGCATGGGCCTTCAGGTTTATTTTGCAAGTTTCACATATAATGTGTTTCATTTGTCTTTATCTTCATTCAGTTTTATATAAATGGATTTTACTAATGCTCACAAGACTCACAGCTTTATCTTGATGGCTTTTATTCTTCACCAGATGAGTCACATCAATGATTCTGAAGCTGTGTAGCTTGCCAACACCTGCAGCTTCTCCAATCACCAGCAGCCTGAAATAGCTGATTCCTAGGACTCCAACCACCATTAATTTATGTAATAACTGGTTTTACCGAACAACCATTGCTGTTGCTGCTGCTGCTGCTGCTGCTGGTGTTGTTGTTGTTGTTGTTGTTGTGCAAAACCCGGTCTATCCCATTGAATGGTCGAAAGGGAGGTCGAATGGGTGAAATGACCTGCCGCAGCTTTGGCTTGTATAAAGACCCGGGGTCGCGACGGAGCAGAAAATCCCTCTCACCGTCGATGGCGCTGGTCGCACTACATATTTTCCTTGGAGTTTGTTTGGCATCTGCTCAGGCCTGGGCGCTAGAACATATGACCTGGATGGATGAGAGCTTCGGAGTGATTGAAAGGTTGGAAAAATAAACAGAAGATTCCTGCCCATGTAGACTCTTGCATTATGTGATTCTTCAATATTCTTCAGCAATGTCACGCACTGTAGAACAGAAGATTCTTCAATTGCAGGATGCAGAACCACAAGTCTGCAACACCCCAGCTTGTTTGGATGAAGCTGGTGAATCAGAAACGCAGCAAATGCGACGCTTGGCTTACCCAAGGTTGTTGCCATGTCCCTGAAGCAGGGCCCAGTGCTTACTGAATGCTGCTCCAGCTTTCTAGGGCTCCAGCTTTCTAGGCTCCAAGTGTTTGGGGTGGGTTTGCAGGGTCCAGTCACACCTTCGGAGGAGGTACTTGGAGCCCCAGGGGCTGTGGACCCTAAACCAAACAGGTTCGTTTGCTCAGCTGGGTTCAGGCACCGCACAGAATCGAGATGAATTCGACCTAAGACATGGCCACCGTGAGAGTCCAAATGGCTCATTTTACATCATTTGGATCATCTTAGCTTAGCGCTTTTTCATCCCCTATATGCTAGTGGTGCTTAGCGCTCTTGGTGGCTTCCCACCACGTCAGGTGGGGTGTTCGTGATTGGAAGTGCTGGACTGCAGATGGATCACCTTGGCTTTGAGAGGTTAAGAAAACTTTAAAGGACCTACTGGCGTACCCAACTAGGATAGTCAAACTAGGATCCTTCAACCTCTGTTGGTTGGTTTTGACTTGCCGGGGGGAGGGGAGAAACCAAGTGCACTCGATCTTTCGTGGACACGCGACCGAGGGGTGTTGACCGCCCATCGGCGGACGGTCAGAGGTACCACCCAAAAGGGGTCCCATAATATCCCCCAGAAAGCTCGACTTTGACACCATCTCCCTACAAATCCAGTCAAGCCCGAACCTTTGGAGGCTCCTGGCACCTACATGTCTCAGTGTCTCCACATATCACCTGAGAAGATACGACTGGATGATCCCGCCTAGGGATGAATCATGATGAATCCCTGTAGGGACGGTCGTTCAGGTCTCTCAACCTCCTCTCTTCTGAGGTCTTGAGCTCTTACAGCGCAAAGTGGAGATGGGCCGCTTAGAGACCGACCCATCAGGGACAAGACCTCAACTCGGCTGCGGTGGGGTCATCGAGTTTTGACCCACGGAATATGGGTGATGTAATAAGATCTTTTGATGAATCAACCTCTCCAGACATGGATGGCAAAACCATGTAAAACCTCTGAAGAGGCTTGGGGGGGCTTGAAATACCATCAGGAGTCTACATATGTTCATGATGGTCAGGAAAAGATGCCTGCCCAACAAGCATGGTGACGTGGACGTCTTGGTCCGAAGACGCATGTTTCGTGCCCGCTTTCGTGCGCTCGCTGGACACCCGCGCGAAAGCGCGCGAAAAAGGGGTGCCTTTTTCTTTGACCAACGGAAGGTTGGGAGGCTGCACATTGTTGGGAGGCAACGGCTGCAACGGCGCGTTGATGAGTTTTGCAACTCAGTGTTTCTGACCATCACTTGGGACTGTACCTGTAATATGGGAAAAGCTCCGGAGCAGGTTCCTGGCGTGACGTTGGATTAGCGGTGGTCGTGACGTTGTCTTGGTGCCTTCAGCAAAAACATATCCTCATTCTCTTGTGGACTGACTTCCTGGAAGAATAAGCCTGCATGTGACAGGCTTGTGAGTGCGCAAATTGGTCGGAAGGACGAAGGCAACATATATCCCACTAGCTGGAGTTCTCATGTCTCAGATTTCCAACCCTAAGAGGATCTAAGAGGCCTATATCTCCTCGGATTTCCTACCCTAAGAGGCCTATGAGTGTACGGGTTACCTTTGAAGCTATAGCCAGCTCGCGTGGCGCTCGCTCGGGGGGGAAGCCAAGTCATGCCCCACACCCGAGGTTCGTGGGGTCTCACCGAGGTCACACGCCCCGCCGCACCGAGCGCCGCGCCTCGAGAAGCGGCGGAGGGGTGCCGGCCGTGATCTCGGCAGCTTGGGCCAACTCAGGGACCGAGAGCCCGGCGGCTCTATACAAATTCAGGCTATATGCCGGGCTAAGGATCCAGGGATTTGGGGTATATACCCTAGGGCTCCTGGCCCACCTCCTGAGGTTCGGTGGTTGGGGTGGGTGCCAGGGGGGGTCTAACCACCGAACCTGAGGATATGGTTGGAGCCCTAGGGATAATAAATCCTTTCATCCTTTCAGTTTAGGGCCTGGTAGTTTCGTTCGTTTTACCGGGTTTTTGGCCCTTGTGGTATTACTTTCGGGAGGCATCTTGTCCCAATCTGGGCTATTTCTGACGTGTTCGCCCGAAGCTGTTTATCTCCAAGACTTTCCTGGCCCGATTCGAATCCCGTTTTGGGCCATTGTTTTGCACAAGATTTACCAACAAAGGTAGATACCCCAGGTTTTACGGGTCCTATTTACGGTCACTGAACCTCTCTGAGTACGCTACCAGGCTCCAGGTCAACCCTTTGGGTATCGGAGTATATAGATGGCCCTGCTGAGCGCGGGTGGTACCAGCCCGACCCTCCAAAAAAAATAAGTGCATCAAATACAGTGCGTCGGTGCAGGAGAGTTCACCGTGGCAGGTGCATGAGAAGAGATCAATGATCCATGTTTGCCTTTTTTTAATCTATAGGCCTTATGATTCAACAGATTATGGCACCCCAAAATTTACTGTTGAACAACAAAACATATTTGTGTTGGATTTTCTGTTATCGCATTCTGAATGCCAGCCGTGCATGGCGTGTTTGCTTATTTGGCTGGCCGCAGGATTACTGAAACATGGGTTCTCATTGCTCACTATTATTTTCATATATTTTTTTTTCATGTTCGTTTGATTTGATCTGAGATTTCATGATTAATCAGGTCTTGACACCGTAGCCCAGACACTCCTGGCTCCTTTGCCTAGATATATAGCACGCCCTAGCCTTCAAAGACCATTGACAGAGTGTTGACTTAGTTTTGTAGCACCAAGTCCTTGGCTCTTCCGTAGAAGACAAGAGTCCTATGAGAAGTAAATAGAAGAACATAAGGTATTATCCTGGACACTTGCTTTTGGAGACTTAAAAGTGGCAGCTGGTGACATATATTACATCCATTGGAGCTTGCTGATATACATGGACCCCCTTTGCACCCACCCGTATCCGCTGCTCGCTGAGTCGATGTACACCTTTGGCGCGCCAGCCGTCTCGCGCCCTCCCATGCCCGACCTGAACTCGCCGGATCATTGCTTCCCGGGCTTGCGCACCTACACGGAGCCCGAAAGCAAGAAAGAAACGCGCCGACAGCGACGTGGGAACATTCACTCTATGTATGGGAACATTCAGCGACGACTCTCCGGAACTTTGGTTACTGTAGGGCGCCCCCCCGCAAATGGTTTGGAAGAGTTCATATCTTATAACCGACCTTGGCTCCTTTTTCAACCACCCCGAATGAGCAGTCCCACAAGACACGTAGACCCGACACGTCGCATCAGGGCGAAGGTGGAGGTGATCAGCAGCGCAAGAGCTCAGGTGCACGAGCTCAAATCCGATAGGGGAAATGGATTGTGAAGAAATGTGCCGGTGAGAAACACCTCGTCCAAAACTGCTGGTTGACGACTTTTTTGTTTCAAAAGATGTTTCACACAAGATGCATGGATTCGTGTCCTTGCTTGTTGACCTTGGATGCACAATGAGCGGATGCTCCACCCTAAAACGTGCGCAATCCATGGAGCATGTTGGGCATGAAGCCATGCAAACCCGCCATGGTGATCCATCCTCCTGACCGACCCACTCTTGACCCACCGCCATGACCCTCTCGAAGTGGTGGAGCTTCGGAACGCATCTCGAAGTTCGGCAGGAGAACAAGCTGGCGGGAGGTGGCCGTCAGGTGGATGCGGCATCCATGTTCGATGCCTACGCCCATCCATTCATCAGTGACTTGGGATGTCTTGGGAGAGCTAATTGGTCCAGCACAGTCCACAGGTTCATCGTTTTTATGAACCTGCGGGTCGCTGATCCTCCAAGTGGCACTGGGCAATCACCATCCAACCAACGTGAGATGATTCAATCTTCGGAAGCTGCAAGGATTTGGGCGGTTACTTTGCTCGTCTCTTTTGCATAAATCCAAGGTGTGCTGGCACTTGACTGGGGTCAGGACGGCAGGGTGGCTGGGTGGATCATGTTTCGAAGCCCCCCCCCGTTGGATCCGCAGCCGGGCGTGAAGGCGTCGATCGATCGCACAGCTCCCCATACACTCGGACTGGAAGATATGCCGCCCCAGGTCTACAGGCCCCCCCAGTCACCACCCCTGGCCGTTTCTCGGCAGTCCTATGGCAGTCCCATGGAGTCGATGGGATCTACTGAAGCAAGTCTTTCTGTCCAAGTCCCGGCACATCAGCTTGGGGGAGGCCCCACTGCAAGAAGCCACGAGGTGGACTGTTCTCCGTGTTGTACTGAGGAGTTTACGTTGCAAAAATCAGGTCCACCATTTCTTTAAGGCTCTTGCAAGAGGTTTGCTCACAGCGAAGGACCCAGTTCCGGGCCCAGTTTCGCAGCACAAGTGTCCGTTTCTCCGGTGCCACTCCGAATGAGTTCGCTCCCTGCTGGTTGAGGATAGTGGTCTTCCAAGGGACTACGCTCCCTGGAACAAAAGGTATGGCCCCGAAAGGAAGGCCATTTTTCTCGACAACCAGGGGCATGTGAGTTCCAGGTCGAGTACTTGCCACTTGCCACGTGGTTTCGCACGCTCATCCGCCAAACCACGGGGTTTCGCACGCTTCGCTTCGCGTCCACGGCCGCGGGTTCGTTGGGAGGATTCGTTTTACCAGCCATGCCCCGGCGACGCTACATGGCCTCAAGGAGGTGGTTTCGTGTGGATCGTGGGAAGGGTTGATGAACAAGTCCCTATAGAGCCGGCCTTAGGAGAAAGTAGGAAAAAGACCTGGTGGCGTAGGGTAATACAAAACCTTAGAGAATTACTATAAATTGTTATTCTTTGGTAAAGACATGTAAAGACCATTAGAACAAGGGTTGTTCGAATAAATGGGATATAGACATATGTTGGAAGTTTGAAGATGTTGGAAGATAAATATACCTGGAACGTCGTTACGGCAATAATAATAAACGTTGCCTTTTTCAGTTCTGCGGCGTTCTCGGGAGGGTCTAGGTATATAACAAGTTGGCTTGGAGAAGATGTGAGTTACAATTCATTGAACACATGGGATTGAAGAGACAGGTGGACACCCCGTTTTGCCTCCATTCTTTTCATGTTCAGTGAAGCGGGTGATGTTTTTTGATGTTGTGAGCCCCAAGTAGGCAGGTTGAAGTTGGAAGATGTTAGAAGTTAGAAGCACACAAATTCTTTCCACACTGACAATGTGGACAATGTGGCGCCATACTCATCCACACTCATGACTGCAGACTAAAAAACGGTTGCTTCGTTCTATACAACTATACCCTAGAAGTCCAAAGACTATATTTTGACCGGCCGAAGTAAAGGAAGTTCCCTTTCAGGTCCCCTAAAGACCATTCTTTTTATAGTCTTTGACTCCCAGGGTATACACAGCTGATTCTGATTTGATTGATGTGCTTTGCCAGCTCTCGTCCTCCGGTTCGGTCTTCCACCAAAATACGGCGGACCTTTCCACTTCGGAAGGGCCTTTTTGGCGGAACCGCCCCCGAACCGAGACGAAGCGCAGGTGGAGCCGCGGATTGGGGTCTTCACTCTGAGACCCACTATGCCCCGCGCTTGCAGGAGCTCAGCATAGCAAACTCTACGCAGCTGAGGGATTTGTGGCGCTTTTACCGTTTTCTCCGGTTTCTTGGTGATTTCTTTTGTCTGATTTTTTTCTTCGGTCGCACGCAATTGGATCAACAAGACTTGGAGCCTCAGACATGGGCGGATACTTCGGACCCAATCAAGGTGAGAACATGAAGTTCTATTTACCATAGTATTTACCATACATTACTCCAATAGCTTGGGACACCATCCCTGCTTCAAGTTACGACATCAGTCCAGACCCGTCGTCCTGACCCGCGCAGCGCGACGCAGTCGTCGCCAGAACGTGACCCTCAGCGGCGTGGCGGTGGCCACGGACGAGCCCTTCAAGACGGCCAACGAGATGGTCGGGTTTCCCCGGGAACGAGCGGAGAACCCGGTTTTACCGGACCTGGCCCAATGGCCTGCGGGGGAGACGAGGTGGACCTGTATAGTATATAGGTATTACAGCAGGTAGATTTGGATAGATTTGGAGGTTCTAGATTTCCCAGACCGCGAGCGGAACATGTTGTTTCGGGTTTCCGCAACTTCTCAAGTTTTTTGAGGTGGAGAGCCTGGTTGGGATCGGATGCTTGATGTTCCTCAGCATTAACTCATGGAGTTATCCCATTCAGAGGGGACCTGGACCACAAATCCGGTCCAAGAGGGGATGAGAAAGGGGAGCCGATGTGTTGAGTTGCGAAGTGGAGACGACGGAGGGCCATGTGGACGCCGTCCACTTGCCGTCCACCGTACATGGTGCATTCGCACCGATGGGGAGGGAAAGAGAACACCCAGCTTGGCCCATTCTCACATCAGTTCACTCTGGGTTTGTCATTTCCAAGAGAGGTAGCCAGTGACCTGAACTAGGACCCGTCACCTGCGGTACCCAACTGGGAGAGGCTAGCTCGGGTCCTTCAACCTTTGTTGGTTCTCCTTGTGACAGCCAGTAAATAATGATATCAAATGATCATCACGTATCACTATTGTAGAGATGTCGGCCTGCAAGCTACTGTAACCATATCTAACCATCATCCACGGGCCCTGGATGACATGGATAGACCCAAATCTTACTCATCAAATGGGCCTCCAACTCTTTTCAAGGCGAAGCCATCACGAGATGCTTCGCAAGGTGACGTTGGCCTACAAGAGCTATGACACTGTGGAGAATACCATCAAGGACTCAACATTCTAAACAGCAAGCCTTGGAGTTGCTGTTCGCTCTCAGTTCTTGAACCATTTGCTTTCACGTATGTTTTTTGTTGAAGATGGTTTGAAGTTGTCATGTTGTGTCGAAGGTTTCGGATTTTGAAGGTTTCGTGTTTGTGTTCAATTACCATGTGGGATTGCCCCATGTCCGTCAAATGTGGTACAGTTGCGCAACCTTGAGACATCTTCACAGATGGTTTCAACTCTTGCAGCGCCTTGGTACTTCTGGCACTTGGCCCGACTGGCTGATACTAGCCGTCTCGGTTGAAACATTTTCCGGCGCGCTCCATTGAAGCAGGTATGGGTATGTTGGATTGGATTCACAGGGAACAAGAATGGAGCAATTTTGCCTGGAAGTTCGAAACATCCTACAGAGTGCACCTCCCATGCTCAAATTGCATTGTTGACCATTGACCATCTATCAGCACCAAAAGGCTGATCAGGTGCGCGTGGACTTCCTCGCTATCTGGTGCGATGGAACAACGATACGTTACTCGCCCGCTGTGCTGACCCGCCAATCCAAGATGAAAACTGGTTTTGTTTTAAGGTGACTTTGGTCCCCGATCACCTGGGTCAATCCCCCGAACACCTGGGGGGGAAGATGTGTCACCAGGCTCTTCCAGGCTTTTTGGACCGCAAAATCCAAGATGAGTGGTGGGTTTCGGCCTCCCACGTGACCCCCAGGACTCCCCTAGGTCCCTGGGCCCCTGGTCACATGACTCACTCGACACGGAGCGAGCGAGCCAGCTTGTCGAGCGCGACCGTTGGAAGCTCATACGCACAGCGGCACAGCTCGTAGAAAGCGCGAGCCGGCCATGGGAGCCTGCAGCTCACACTCGGCTCCGCACTGTCCGCTCAAAGAAGATGACAGTGATCTTTTGCAAAAGGCCGCTTGGAGGTGTACATTGGGGTATGTAATTACCTGTCATCAGTGGTCCAGTGCTCGACATTATGCACATGATTGAGGATTTTGGAGTTGGGCGCTGGAGGATGTCTTCCTTGAAACGGGGGAAACAACTCAACCTTAGACTTGCTTGTGATAACTTTCATGGCAGTGGAAGACCTGCTTCATCAAGAGGCTAAACTTGTCCCGTTCTTTTTAATTTAGGGGCCGAGACAAACACAATTTGGACATTTAGCCGGCATGTAAGCATCCACTGGAACATGATATGGAGAACCCCCCAGAAAGATAGGGCAATTTTTCTTGATTTTACTTGTATTCATTGGTTCTTGGTTCTTTGAACGGTACCCCACCAACCCTTTACAATCACTCTTGACAATTACATGTACCACACCTTTGTTCTGGTGTGCTGTCCTTGCAAGTTGTTAAACTGTCCCTCTTGAGTTGTTGGCTCCATTTTGGAAAGCAGACAACTGCTCATGCAGTAAAGGTGTTACTATACCACGTACCATTGATAGGCACGGCATGTCCCGCAAAAAGGTCGGGTCCTTGAAGGACCCGCCTCAGAAACTGCCCTTTTCGTTAGACCCATCAATACGTTTTCACTGCGAGGTACTTGGCAGTCTTGGCTTTAAAGTGTTACTTTGGGGGAATGTTAAGACCAAGACTCCCAAGTACCAAGTCCCCACCTGACTCCCAAGTACATATCTGTTTGGGAGAATGTCAAGACGCCACTGAATTAACATATCTGGATCTTCAGCTGTGCAACATGACACCGCCACTACATCCATCAAAACCAGTCCAAAGGATCCCAAGGATTCTCTGAGATCCTCGGGGATGCTTTCTCCGCTGGCACCAGCCACTGTCCCGGGGGATTTGCTGCCACTGTACCTCAGGTTCGGTACGACTGGACCCCTGCTGGCACATCACAGAGTCGAACACATCACCGTACCACAGAGGGTGGCAGTGGATCCCTAGGGAAGTCTTGCAAGCCCACCATGCAACCGCGCGCGCCGTGCGCGCCCATGGGCCCGAGGTCCATGCAGAGCTGAGACAGGCGAACTGGCAGCATCGCCCCGAGCCGCAGCCGGCGTTGCTTTGTGATTGGGGTCTATATCTGGGCGGTCTCGCAGAAGCTTGGAGGAGCAACAGAGGTTGAAAGACCTGAACTAGGACCCTGTAGTGGTACATATGGGATGGGCTATAGGGCTGTTCAACCTCTCTTGGAGGAGGTTTTGAAGTAAAGTTGGTTCAGGTCAGAAGCGCCAGCGCAGCTTGGATATAGCGGGCCTACCACAGGGTCAGATGGTTCTCCGGATGTTTCCGGGGTCCATGTGCAATGCATATATATATATGTTTCACCATGTGTTTTTTCACATCCTCTTCCAAGTGAATCGGCTTTTCATCTCTTTCTGGGGGGGGGCGGGCGCTCTTTATTGTTGTTTTGTTATTTATTGGATTCTGTTTGTTTTTCGAGCAGGAGGGCTGCGTATCATTGTATCTTGTTTTCTACCAATTTGATGTTGTTGCTTGCAATAGATTCTTCTCATTTCAAGGGCTGCCAAATTGTAAGCTCTGTGGGTGATGTCAACAGGGATCACCATGTCGCGACTCAGGAGGCCTCCAACGCGCAGCTCATGAAGGAGTTGTGAGCCGAGTTGTGGGAAGGGAACTCAAACCGGAAAATGACACTGTGACAGAGTAGACACAACCTTTTTGGAGCATATAGATACGCATATTATGTAGACTCTAGACTCTAGCCCCAAAGGGTGCTTCTGTTGCTGCTGTTGCTATTTGCTGGTCAAGGATTGAAGAGTTCCAGCGACAACATCACGACCCACGGGAGGGCTGGTCACCAAACCCTAGGGATCGACGGGCTGCTTGGGGGGGCTGTCAGCTCTGAAGCACAGATCCCAGCAGAGGTGGGTCAGAACCCTATAGACTATCCTATAGACTATCCTATAGGTACTGCTGTAGGGTCCTATTTACGGTCACTTAACCTTTGTAGGGACCTTCGAACCGGGCCGATTCGGAGGGCCATGTCAAAGATGCCCAGACTGGCTGCCTGCACCCAGTCCCGGGGACCTCGAAGAAAAAGAAAAAATAACACATCCATTCCGAAGAACACCACGCCAAGGCCCACAAAAGCCGTGTTTTCCGAGATTGTTTTTTTCGAGAAAGCGTGGAACCTGGAACCTCGCTGTTGCCGGTCTGGCTTGTTTCGAGACGACCCACACGTGGACGTGGGGGAGGGGCCGGACCCGGACCTGGTCGGAGGTCGATCTCCGCTCCAAGCTCCACAACTGTGCCTCCCACCTGGTCCCACAGTTGTCTTTTTGAGTGGAAGGTTGGGAGATTTTCCCAATGAATGTACTGTATTACTATAACCAATGGAAGCCTGTAGTAGGTAGTGTGGGGTAGTCCATTGGACACTTCTTGGATGGTCCTGGTATATAGGGTTTGTCCGAACTGACCTGTAACATTATGTTTTTTTAATCCTCATTGTTGAACAAGGCCTCTACTAACCATCATCATCCACTGGGCCCAGGTAATAGGATAGACCCAAGATATGTGTATGATCCTGAACAATCTGAACATACGGCTACGGCTACCACTTGGTGTGTTCAAACATGCGATTTTTGTTTGATCCAATATGCCATGTTGTCAAACCACCGAACAGTCTGTTTTACATCCGAGCCTCATTTCACTGGAATCTGGAACATGGTACCGTCCTCAACGAGGCGGGACCAAGGACTTGGGTTAGAAGGGAGCATCTACCAGAAACCATGGGTGTTCACCCACAACCTACCCACGGAGCCTGGCCATCAAGAAATATCGGTCCCTTCCCAAGCCTCAACGAACGACCTTGTTGGAGGATGCTGGTAGGTCGGATGAATAGGTAGAACATGGTAGAACCAACAAGTTCGTTCTTGCTCATTTGGTCCACTAGACAGGACCGCCACGGGCTTGTTGGAGTTGCATGGGGGTTCCGGTTGATGTTTCTCATCAATTTGTTGGGAAACACCAACTTTCGGATCACATAGTCTTCGTCAACTTTCATCAACTTTCACATATTTAATTGTTGATGGGTTATATATTAATTCTATATACCAGCACCTTCAAAGGGGTCACCAATGGAAGCCCCTACACTACTAAGGGACCTCCATTGGACACCCCTTGAAGGTCCAGGTAATTCCCTTCAGTTTGTTGGGCATTTTGTTGTATTTATTTCACCCCCCTGGGGCGATCAGAGGACTTGGGCATCGGAGCGATCGTGAACACCGCCTCGTCCATGTGCCGCTCGGCCAGACCGGCGGGGGAGCTGGTTCTGCGCGCCAGGTGAGGTGTCCCAGACCGTCCCATTGGGACTGGAAGAGTTACCTTACATTGGGGTCATGTTGCGTAAATGTAGCCCAGAGGCTCGTGGACCCGAGCCAACTGCCACATGTTTGAGAGTTTGAGGTCCAAAACCCTGGCTGTGAGGGTCAAAACCCTAGCGAACTGAGGGTCCACTGAGCCTTTGGGAGGCAACTATTTCAGAGTTTGGTTCGATTTGATCAGAATTCCCGTTTGGGCTCCAAGAGGTTACCTCCAGAAGGTATGACTGGACTCTGTGAACCCATGCGAAAACATCTTCTCAGAAGGTACTTGGAGCCCTAGGCATTGTTAGGGAACCAATTGCCATGGTGGGGAGCACTCGAAGTAATTGTTTTGTTTCGGGTGGGGCATCTGAAGATCCGAGCTGAGCACTTGCATGATTGGACCCCTGGAAAACTCACATCTGACTGGATCATCTACACCCTGGAAGACTCACAGGGTGAAAACCACTGGGCCTAGAGGGAAAATAGACTTCCAGCCTGGTCCATGCCGGGCCACGCCGCCATGCGGGTCTCCGGAACATTCGGAACACGTGGACGACCACCTCGGAACACGTGGACGACCGGGGCCAAGCTCGGGAAGGAACAGCTGGGAATCACGGAAGAGGAACGGCCCCGGCTCATGGAATCTGGTGGATTCACGAAGTAGATGGCGTTCTGACGGAGCCAATGTCGGTGGTTGATATATGAGCA